TTTAATACAGTTATTTACTATTTATATAATGTAGTATTAATTTTAAAGTTTTTTTTTTTTTTATAAAAATTGGACTACATATGAAATTTTCCTTTTTCATTGATATACGAATATTCATCTGAAAAAAAAAAAAAGGCAGATGCCGATTTACTTTAAACTTTATAGAGTTGAAATAATAAATTCCGAAGTAGAATCAATTTTTCATTTTTGGCAAAATAAAAAAAAAAAAAAAAAAAAAAAACGCTAACGAGTAACCTATTTTCGTGCATCAGCCGATATTTTTTTTTATACAAAAAAAATTTTTTTAATTACGCAATGACACATGTTAACTAACGCATTTTTGACCAGTTTATATTTCGGTTTCATTCATTTTGGCGTTCAAGTAATTAATGAAAAATGAGAATAGCTTGCATTTTTAATAATTAGTTTTAAAGATTGGCCGCATACATTTTCCTGAGAAGAAAGTTATGTATACTACAATAAAATACATTGCACACTAACTTATTATCTATTCTTTCAACTATTTCCTAATATTTCATTATTTGGATTAAATCAATGAATTTATATAAAAAAAATTAGATGAGATTTTTTCATTATGAAAGGGTTTAATTTGCGGTGGATGTACAGGGGGGATTTTCGTATCAATTTGCTCATTGTTCCTTTTTTTTTTTTTTTTTTTGAAAGTCGTTTCTTCCAAAAAAAAAGTTCTTTTGACAAATTTTAATTTAACCGGCAATACTGTGAAAATCAAAAAAAAAGAACCGAGGATCTTCCTAATGTAAGTATATTCTTTTATAATGTACGAATATCATTCATTTAATTTTTTCCCATAAACTTAAAATCAAAAGATAAGAAAAAATCGGAAAGTTCTGTCAATAGAATGTCAAATTAAAAAGAATATGATATGCATGTTATTCAATACACTTTTCGCGAGAGCCGTGTGTTGCATCAATGAAAAAAATTCTATCTTGTATAGTATATTTTCTTTACCTGTGCTTTTTTATGCACCCCGCATGTATTACCCAATTGGTAGAACTTTTTTTTTCGAGCACCAGGAATAATCCCCTACATAAAATTGGATATTTACATGCACAATATAAATATTTATGTGATTATAGTCCAAAACGAGGTTTTATCATTGATACCTAAACGTCATTTTTAGAGGAGTTTTATTTGTTGTTGACTAATATCGCGACAAATGTTGAATTGGTACTACCTGTTTCATGAACAATAGGTTTATTATCATAAAAAAAAACTTTAAATCGTTCAGGCTAAGACAATGAATAGGGGGAGGTGACTTTTTTTTCCTTTTTTTTCTTCTTTTTTATATTTATATATAAAATTATAATGCTTGCATACAAATGCAGCATTCCAATTGCAACGTCTCTTCTGAACAAGGGATTGGTTTAGTGTTACTTTTTAGTAAGAATTAAATTTTCCACTTGTGAAAGAAAAAAAATTTTTTTTTTGGTTAATTTTTGGAATAGCTTTACAATTAAAGAAAATTTTTTTAACCTAAATTTTTTTTTTCTCCAAGCATCTTGCATTTTCTATTGTTTCAATGGTTCATTAGTAGTTCTTTTCCCTGCATATTCATATGTATTATGTATTCGAGCATTCATCGAATGAGTTATAATTTATCATATTCGTTTCTAAATGAAGTAACTTGTCAAAGAGATGACAAATGTATTTCCATTTTTAAATATTTTTTTTTTTATTGAGATAAACAATGATCAACTAAAAAAAAAAGAACCGCAGGAAATCATTGATACCAGGTAAGATCAACCAGTAAAATTTGTGACCATCAAAAATTAATTGCATTCGAAAAACAACAACGGAAATACTATAAAATAAGTTTTCACTAAAATGATTCTTTTTAATTCATTTCTTTTCTTTGTTTTCTTTGATAAGATGAATGTAACTTTTTATAATCGGGAATTTTATCATTTTTACTTAGTAGACCGTTAGGAAAAGTAAATTGTTTTGAAAATCTTAAATCCCTTGTAAAGAAAGCCGCTCTGATTCATTTTATCTAAAAAAAGAAAAGATGAGAGGAATGAATGGAATGACTTGGTGTTTTTGTAAACAAATAAAATGGGGGCTGTTATGTGGATAACACAGTTTAATATTCGGAAATATTTCAGTAATGCAATGCCGAAATAGGAGAATTTGGTAGCTTTAATTGTTATTTAAAAAAGAACCTTTTACCGAGTCTCAAAAAATTTTTCTCGGTATGTGCGTATTTATCAGCTGATTTCAAAGTAAACTAAATATAGGATAAAAAAAAATTCCTGCATATTTATTTAACAATTTATCTAACTCATATATGGTAATCTAAATTAAACAACTACACTTTTTTTTTTCTTCCTTTTACTGTATGCGTATATATTTTTTTTCACGGATTTTTATGTATATAAAGAGCATTACAAAACCGGTTTCTAAGGAGTTTGACTCGACGAATTTTGGTCCAGACATTCCTTTCCGCCTTTTGTCCTAAAAAAAAATATTTATCCCTATAATAAATAATAATTACTTGAACATTCTTTTTCCATCCATTAAATATTTATTTATTTATTATTTTTAAAACAATAGAAAAAAAAAACCTTGTAATTAACAATTAGGTACCATTTATCATAAAAATGAATTCTAAAGATGATGACTGTTCTGTTGTTGTTAAGAAAGGGCGCTGGAGCAATCTGGTAAGGTGAACCTTTCTTTTTCCATTAAATCCGTGTTTGGCATTTGGCTGCGGCCAAAAAAATTTTTTTTTTGGTCGGTTCAAATAGCAAAATGTCAAATACTGCCATAAAATTTCTATAGAAAAGACACTTAAATCGATCATCATTTTTTAAGGACGACCAAAGGTTACGAGATTTGGTACATCAGGAGCCCGATGTAACAAGACCAAAATGGGTGAGGATTGCAAAAGAATTCAAATTTCGAAGTGGAAAGCAATGTCGTGAACGTTGGGAAAATCACCTAAAACGAGGGAGTCGGTATTTGATTCATTTTACGTGAAAATCTCGAACTTTTTTGAAATTTGTCTAATGTAATTCCTCTTTACTCTAGTAAAGAAACGCAAGTTTAATCACGAGGAGTCCCAATTTATCCTTCAGGAAGTAGAAAAGGTTTATCCTGAAACTCCAAGATGGGCCAATATTGCAAAAAAATTAATTTCCGCGACCCCTCTGATGGTCCGGAATCACGTGAATAATTACCTGAAAAGAGTAGACACGCTGAGTTCTACGAGAAATAGAGGACCTGTTGCTGCAGGTTTGTCATTGTTAAAAATCTTTTAAAAAGTTGGACTCCTTCGTTCCTTTATTAAAATATATATATATTTTTTTTTTTCACCTCCAAATATTTTAATAGTAAAACGTGAGAAAATGTCAATCTCTTATGTACTAAATTAAATTATACTGGTTATTAATTTAATTCCCTATTCCCATTATTAAAACCTTAAATTCACCTCCATTCTTTTTTTTTCGTTACATTATTTGTTGATATTTTTTCAAAACAATAATGATATAATAACTCGTCATTATTATATTACGATTTTATATATTTTTTTTACAACTCTTACATTATTACATTTCATCATATTTATTATGGCTTATATACGAAATTTTCGAATATTTATTAGTATTTAATTTATTTTCAAATCATTTATCATAATAGGAAACAACAAGTTTTTTTTTGTACGTTACCTTCCCATCTTCAATCGCATAAAAAAAAAAAATTTTTTTTAAATTATGTTTTTTACACTGAATGATCAATATTAATTGTGTTGAAAAAAAAAAAATAACAAAAAAAAAAAATTACATATGTTAAAATGAACAACATCAAATTCTGTAAATTTATCAATATTATAAATATATAATAAAGAGACATTAACTTGGTGCGGAGAAAAAATAAAAAAAAAAAAAATGTGAAAAAACATTTAATTACTATATCGAAGTAAGTTATCAAGATAAATAAATATGTTATGCATCCACATGAGACAAATAATGAAAAAGAAAAAGAACAAAAAAACAATTGTCCCACTTTCTGATTGTTCTTGATAAACAATGGAATTCAAAAATCAAAACCGTTTTTTTTGATAATATTGTCACGAGTCATTCTAAATTTTAATCACTGAAAATACAATTTACGAACCCCAATACTTGTTAATGCTGAAATGGGTAATGATCATCTAATTTTAGAATATATTTTTCGCTGAAAAAAATTTTTTTTTTTAAAATAAAAAAAAAACAAATAAAATGATTGACAGAAAACACCTAAATTTTAAAACCTAAAAAAGTATTCTTTATTTAAAGATTTAAAGATATAATTTGTTTTACATTTATAATTATCCTTGGTTTGCAAGCAAATTTGCCTTATTTACTATAAATTCTCTTCTGATTTACTTATAATAATTTAAAAAAAATTTTTTCTTTAAATTAAGTTTTATTTTTTAATTATATAACGATAATAAAAAATTTAAAGTTACTTAGAAGCTAAAAATTTGTAACTTTTAAAAAAATTATATTAAAAAATTTCATGATTAATCTATAATAAACGTTTTAGAATTTACTTTTAGCTATTATAATCATAATAAAATTACTTATTAAGAAAAACTTTATTATTATAATTTTTATAATTTATTAATGATAAAGTAATTCAATTAGTATGTAAACATAAATTTTTAAAGAATTATTATAATAAATTTTTTGAAACTTAAGTTTAAAATTAAATATTTAAAAAACTTAAAATCTTTATTAATAAAGTTGATAAAATATGTGTTAACCTATATTTTTTTATATAATAATGATATTGTTAAAATTAATATAGTAAAAAATCTTTAAATTCATCCTTTCTAAATACATACATTTTTTTTTATAAATACATATTTCACACATTCTCAAGTATATACAAATTATACAAAATTTCTTTCTTTAAATGCTCACCCTCTTTAAATGCATATTTTTTCAAATTTTCATTATGATTTCAAAATAAGTGCATTTAGAGAAGCCTTATTGTATTTAATTAACATTTTATAAAGAAATTAATACTTATTTTTAATTTTACAGGTAAATCAACCTGCTAGAAGGTAGTGATGAGCTTTGAACACATTTTTTAATTTTAGATAAGGTTTTGAACATATAAAATTGTATTCAAAATCTGTCTAAAACTGTTCAAAATTATCCAATTTCCTAATACTGATCTAAGGGATAAAAAAAATATAAGTAATACTATATTTATATAAAAAATTAAACTATATTAAAACCTTTAAAATGAATATAAATTATAACCTAATAAAAAATATATAATTATTTGTAAAAGATTAAATAAAATACATATAAATTTTATAGAAAATATTATTAATTATATTTAAAATTAACTAATAAAGTTTATTTAAAGAGAATAAATAATTATATTTAGTAATCTGCAGTCATTAGTATACTATATACTAGAAGACCTATATCTTAATATTTTTTATCTTTATATTCTATAAGTAGCTTATACTTTATTACAATAAAAAGCTTTTTATTAGTATAAATTTTAGTTTGACATGATTCGCAATCATAGTATAGGCATCATAAGAAGAAGATGTATCAGTAAATATTCAGTAAAATTCTTGCTGAAATTGTATAATTAAAAATGGTAGCCTTATGAATATGTTGCAACATACTACTGTTATAACATATGTTGCAACATAGTTGCAACATTTGAAAAAATTTATTAATTTGTTGTAACATGTA